GGTGAAACCCTGTCTCTATTGAAAATTCAAAAACGAGCAGGGCATGGTGGCACATGTCTGTAATCCCAGCTAGTCGGAGGCAGTAAATATGCTTATAGTTACTACTTTTGGGGGTTCTTTTTGAGACAAGGTCTCACTCTGTTGCCCAGGCTGGAGCGCAGTGGCACAATCATAGCTCACTTGCAGCCTCGAATTCCTGAGCTCAAGTGATCCTCCTACCTCAGCCTTCTTAGTATCTAGGACTATAGGTGCTGCCACACCCAGCTATTTTATTTTTAATTTTTTATAGAGACAAGGCCTCACTATGTTGCTCAGGTTGGTCTCAAACTTCTGGGCTCAAGCAATCCTTCTGCCTTGGCTTCCCAAAGTGCTGGGATTATAGGTGTGAGCCACTGTGCCCAGCTACTACTGTTATCAATGCTCACAGCAACTCAATGAGGTATGTATATTATTAACCCCACCAAAATTGAGGAAATGGGGTACAGAGAGATAAAATAACTTGCTCAGGGCCACATCCCTAGCTTGGATCCTAAGCCATGAAGTCAAGCTCCAGAGTCCATATTTCTAGCCTATGGGCTATTGGAAAAGGAGTCAATGAAAAATAGGCTTTGGGGTTATGGCAGAAGAGAAAATGCACAGAAGGGAGAAGACTAGGAAAGGGAGCTGGTGTTGAAGGAAAGATGGGACTTCCACGTCGGAATGACAGACAGGAATGCTAGGAAAAAGGTTAGGCCTGAGGACAGAGTTGGGGAAGATACTCAGAAAGCTGAGGGTTAAAGTAATGAAAATGGATCTCGAATGGGGAAAGAACAAGATAAAAGAGCCCAGGTAGGAAGGCTAAACTAGCAGGGAAGAAAGAGAAGAATCAGAGAAGGAAATAGAGGCATCAATTAGACAGGTGAGAGGGACATCTGGACAGCTTAACATCCCCGCTGCGCTAGGAGGGGAAGGCCCCAGGCCTGCGTCCTCCCCACCTCTGGGCTTCAAAGCCCAAGCCATGCTGAACTCCTTCTGGGATGCCCTTAGTCTTCTCTAAGCACCAGTATCAGTCCTGGCCTCTAGCATAAACTCAGAATGCCCCCACTTCTGGGATATTTCCCCTGAACACTTAATTATGTTTCCTAAGATCGATACCACGAACTCCCAGAAGATGGAAATGACAGCTTTCCTTTTTCCATCCCTGTGTGCTGCACAGGATCCTGTACACAGGGCTCAGTAAATGCTTGTGGAGAGTGTCTTCCAGCCCTTCCACATCTTAGCCCCAAGTGTGACTATATCCTCTGTGAAGACAAGACAGCTTCATGCCCCATTCTCCCCAGCAAGCTCCACTGCAGCCGGAAGCATATGCTCAGAACTGCCTCAAATGTTGATCACAAAGTGAGTGGGGTGAATTAAGAGTGGTCTGGGGACAAAAGAGGCACATTCCTCAGCAGCCCCTCACTAAGCCCAAGACACTGGGAAAAACCTGAGGCTCCGGATTCTTCATCGTTTTAGTTGGACCAAAAAGTACCTGGCCAGAGTCTGGAAACGTGTCTACCATCTCTGCATCCAGAAGCCAACGGATGAAAAAGACAAACTTCACTCACTCTCACCTGAGCGGGCAGCAGATCCACAGCCATCCCTTCCTCCTCAGTGCTCCTGCCCAGGGAGAGCAGTGTGGACACAGTGGGTCTGCAGAGGAAAAAGGTGTCAAGAGGAACCCTGGTGTCAGGAGATGGCTTGGACAGAGGAAGTTACAACCGCCCATAACATCCATCAGGTCTCAAAAAAGCCACCCCACATAATGACGTAAACCAAGACAAGCATTCACTAGGGCAATTTGCCAACCTCCATCCCTTCTCCACACTTCTATTTCTGCACTTCGACTCTTTAACTTCCACTTGAGGGCCTCTCAGCTACCTCTAGGCAAACAGTGACTCACCCATGGATGTCTGGAGTCCTTAGCTAGCTTTAAACTGCACGCCCTAACAGTTGCAATGAATATCCAGTTTCCTCGGGTGCCACCTTCCAGCCTAGCTAGCTGATCCTCAGCCTGACTGCCCTGCCTCGCCCTTTCCTCCCTGTGGAAGCCGTGATAA